TTGCACACATTAAAAGAGGAAACTGGTTACCTCTCTTAATATGCGCAAATAAACAAAAATTTTTTAGAGTGTATTTAAAGTCTTTTCAGTAAAATTCATAAAAGTCTCCTTAAATAAATCAAAGTTAGTTTTTTAAACTACATTGAAATCTTCTTTCTTTTTAAATTAACAAATGAAAATATGTGATATGAAAGAGATTACTACAGAAAGAGTATAATTTACTTTATATACATATGTGTATCGCCGTTTAAAGTACAAAACCGCGTATCGTCATTCTGCAAAACCGCGTAACTGACATTTGCTGCCAAAAATTGGATTTGCTCACACAAGCTCTTGGCTCAATCCTTATCCATTCGTCCTGAAATATACTAGCCAGAAATGCGATTGCTTTATAAAAAAGAGATCCATTTTGAAATATAAGTGTTTTTACTCTAGAAAATAATTTATGCAACGTCACATACGCGGTTTTGCTTTTTGTTGATACGCGGTTTTGTACTTTAAGCGACGATATGTATATTAAGATCTTGCTTAAAGCATACTTTAAGCTAATTAAAGCAATTGCGATTATACATATTTTGGTGAGATCTCTTCATATGTTCATTGCTTCGTTCACAAAAAATAAAATGCTTTAATTTCACGCTTAAGTAGCGATTCTTCATACGTTCAGAAAACGTAATGCTTTCTACCATCTTTAATGAAAATCGATTTTTGAATGAAAAAAACTTTATAGGAAAAATAAAATTTTGTCCTATTTAAAAAGGTATCCACTGACCGGAAAAAATAAGTATCCCGCAAAAATTCGTCTAAAAATGTATCCAATTGGATCTATTTAGATCCAAACGGCATCCCTGTACCCAAGAGCCTTATTAGTCTTAATCGCAAACGCAATTATTATTTGAAAAGGCAATTAGTTTCATATTTTTAAACTAAAGGTTTCTCAAAACTCTTTCTTTTGACACCAATACGATTTTTTGTGACCGGAATTTGAAGGCATGGACTTGATCATGGCACAAAAAGTGATATTTTGCCCGCCAAATTAGGTAATCGTGGTATCCTGGTATCCATCGTCCCGGAGCTGTCAATTGGATACCGAATTGCGATCTGATAACTTTGGACTTTTTTGTGGAATGCCGTGAAGAACCGATGGTGGCAGCCCTAATCAAAAATAATTTTAAACTAAAGTCTTTTTAAAACTCTTTCGTTTGACGCTCATACTCTAACATTTCGTATAACTTTGTATAATTTAAGTAAATTAGACTTTTGAAACAGGTGGCCACCCTACTCAAAAGTATTTTCAAATATCTTTCCTCTGACAGTGGGATAAATATTTCAACTCAGTGATGGATTAAGTCAAAATTGACTTTTCAAACAGCAACCTCTTCAAAGGTATTTTTTAACTAAAAGCTCTTGAATCTCTTTCATCTGATATTGTGATACATATATATTACAGGCTGGTATTGTGACTGGCGAAGCGAATAAATTTGCTCGCTTGTACAAACTTGCATAAGGTCTTTGCACTGTGAAATTTCTTAATGCAAATTTCATGTTTATTCACCAAACCGTTCGCTTCGCCAAATGTATTCGCTTCTAAGTCATAATAATATATGTATGTAGGTTAGAAATAACTTACCATTTTGATTGATGCACATCTTTTATTAATTCATTTAACTTATTAAATAATTTGAATTTACAGCTTTAAACAGCCGTCGACCCTTTTCTAACATGTCACAGATAATCTATACGTTCACACTAAAGATTTCGTTATTGTTTGACACCCATGTTTTAATACTTCCTATTACTTGTGTGTAATTAAATTAAATACGACTTTTCAAGCTCTTCAAAATATTTTCTAACTAAAACCTTCTTGATGTTCTTTCGTCACACACCATATTGAGACTGATCGGGCACATCTGCTCTAAGCAACAATACAATAACTATATCAGTGTGAATGCAATGCGTTGCTTGAGAATAAATTAAGGGATTCTTTAGAAGTTTACATTTCTGTTAGTGGACCCCCGATTTGAAATCTGAAAATTTTCGGTTAACCTTTAATTTCATATATGACTCAATTCTGTATCTGCTTCGGATTGCCCATATTTCCTCGACACTCGCAATAGGGGTGCTAGTCGTTGTCTACTTTTTACCGTCCATACTTTATGTGTATATTTCAAAGGCAAAATATAATATCCACATTTCCACTGGCAATTTCATATTTTCAGTTCATAAAAACCAACAATTTATGTCCACTTTCTCGTTGATATTTTTATGGGTTAATTTTTTTAAAGAAGATGTTATGTCTAGCTGGATCATTCCTAGCAAATTAGAAGCTCAAGTGTTTAAAACGTAATTTCCAGATATATTCGAGTATATTTAAGGTTTCATGTAAAAACACTACGGCGTTAAACAAAACCAAAGTGATGAATTGTGCTATTCAAAATAATAGTGGCGTTTGTCTTAACGAAGTTAATACACGGCAAAAAACTAGGAATATAGCTGATGTTTTGTACTGGATCTACTTAGTTGTGTCTAATATCTTGTGAAACATTTCTTTCGGTCTGTCGTGGATGGACTTTCACATTCCAGAGAGTCGCTAGAATCCTGATAACGGCTAAAAATAAATTTAAGGCCATTTCTTTTTCGTAATTTGTTAGGTTCTTAAAATTTATAGATTTGGTTCTGATATGATTCTTTTAACCTTTCTTCGCACATGTCTTTATCCGCCTATACCATATTAGATAAACAAAGATTTGTGATTTTCTGCGCGACTGCGTTGCTCAAATTTTGCTTTCAGCCTAAACTATACTAAAACTGACAGAAATGACCTTAAAAAAATTGTTTCGTTGTTTTCTTAAAAATAATGGACGTGGCAAATATTGATACAACAACCAAGTTGGGTCTCCAAAATTCCTTATATCGTCCCTACCATGTCAATTTATCGAACGTAAAATGAGTACTTTTCAGGAGCAAACAAACGCTTGTAAAAAATATTGCCATTAGGAAAACATATGGTATTCGACACTGTGTAATAGCCAACATCTCTGCTTCCAAGAAGACTAGAAATTCGGACGAAATTCGGACCGCTAAAAATGATTCGCGGCAACACTGGTCATCAGGTATGTAACTTAAGAATAGAAATCGCTGCATCTTTTAGGCGCATCAGTATTACATCGTTACATTCCGAGTTAATAAAAGGAAGGTAAAAAAAACGATATCCGTCAAGCGTGTCTCAAACCTTATAACTTTACTTATTTCCACTTTGTTTAGCAATCAAGCAATTGCCTTTTATAAAAGCAAGAAACTAACGTTCCCTGATTTAAATTTTTTATATTGTTACACCCAAATTCATAACACATAAAGAAGACTTCCACTGCTTTATAAATTTAAAATTTTTATGAAAATGTCACTTTATAGAGCTCTTTAAATCCATTTTATTTTTCATGAATAATGCCTTTCGGCTTTTATTTATTTCTGTACAATGCGGAAACCCTAATTAAAGCTTTTTTCTCGTATTTTGGATTTTTTTTAGTTATGACGTTCTTTCAACAAATAAGTAAAATGTATAAAATTAAAAATGAGAAACAAAGTTCCTGCATGCACACCACTTTAATCTAAACCATATGTACATGAGTAGATACTTACGATAAAATACATGAAAAAAACAGACATCGAGGACTTATATTCAATGCCTTCTTCTGCAATTTTCACAACAACTACTTTCTGATGTTAAAACCCAACTGGGACTTAACTGTCATCACCGATATTAATTGTAGTAAATTCTGCTCACAAGCGATATACAAGGTCAACATTAACATAATCGATGACAGTTAAGTCTTCAGTGGAGTTTTCTAACAAAATCTCATTTTTGTGAAAATTCCAGATATTGAATATAAGCCGTTGAAATATTTACATGCATAACCCAACATTTTCGCATACATACATATCGTCGTTTAAAGTACAAAACCGCGTATCGTCATTCTGCAAAACCGCGTAACTGACATTGGCTGCCAAAAATTGGATTTGCTCACACAAGCTCTTGGCTCAATCCTTATCCATTCGTCCTGAAATATACTAGCCAGAAATGCGATTGCTTTATAAAAAAAGAGAACCATTTTGAAATATGAGTGTTTTTACGCTTTAGAAAATAATTTCTACAACTTCACATACGCGGTTTTGCATTTTGCTGATACGCGGTTTTGCACTTTAAACGACGATATGTATGTATGTAGTATATAGCTATTTTCAGTAAAGTTTTTATATGAACTTATGTATGAATGTAAAAAATAATTCATTTGTTTGAAGCATGCAAATGCAAACCCAGTCTTTGTTAATCAATGAAATATAACATATTTTGACTAACTTATTGTATTAAAAAGTTCTTTAATTATTTTACCCAATTATGTAATAAGAAGCATACAGAAAAGAGCAGAATGAAATACATATTTGCTTTCGCTCACGTAAATTCTTGTTCAAAAGTTGGATTTACATTTGCATGCTCCATTTGCTAGCGTTAATGCGTAACGTACGTACACGTATGTAGTTTACTTTCCTATATCTACGCATTCGTTCAAATTGTTAGAAGCACTTGCAACTTAAAAATCGTTGAAAATCCATAAACCATAGAAAGAATTTGTGATTGAATGTTGGTTATTTGTTATAGGTGCACCTTAAGCATCCAGTTAGAAATTGGAGTTTTATTTTTTATTTACACAAAAAAAAATTATATGGAATAAATTTGGAGAACCGAATGAAAAACGACCCCATTGTCAAATAAAATCAGTGGATGCAAATAAAAGTGCAATAACTAAAAACTCAATAGATCTTTCCTTATTTGGAGTATACCGTGTGATTTCAAAGAGTGTTCTGCAACTGTTTTTTATGTACTTTTGTACGGTTGTAATACATTTTGTACGTTTTGTGCTCACTTGTGAAAGTACGTTACATACATCTGTAGGTACATATGTATTTTGTGTATTCTTCTTTTTTCATTTTTTGATAATCACCTCACTGATCAATGGCTCCGCTAAATGGTTATCGGTGACTCTCGTCATTACGGTTTCCGTAAATGTGGATTTTGTGATCGTTTCAGTAATGCGACCCAGCTCTGTGGGCGCGGCGGGGAACATGGGCAGATCTGGAACAGCTTTGTTCACCGTTACGGTGACCGAGGGCCCAACGCCCACTTCGTTGCCACACGCCACATTAACCTGATGTTGACTGCCACCGCTTAGGAAATGCGCAGGTATCATCGCTTGGAAATCTTCACTTGTCAGCGGACGGAGTGGCGGCATCTACATTGGGCGCATAGTGATCCCCAGCATTAGATAAATTTCATACAAATTTTAATTAAGTTTTTAAATTTTGGTGGTAGTAGTTTCAATGACATTTCATTTCGTTTCATTGATTGATTGATTCGCATTTTTGTTAAATAGGTTCAAAAATATTTATTAAATCAAAAGAAAGAAAAAGAGAAAATAATGCTTGTTTAGGTTTTTGGGTTATAAATTCTGCTTAAAAACTAAATTTTAGTGTCGATGTGTTAAAGCAAATTTGCGATCAATTTATATAGTATTTTAATTAACCAAAGGCATACCTAAAAATATTTATGTATATACTCAAAAGTAAATGCAATACAACTCAAATAAAAGTCCTTCGTCGATTGGCAAAGAAACGGGTAATCATAATAATGCTCCCTATATAGAACAATAAACAAACATGAAAAGTCTAAACTAAAATGTTTCAAAACAAAACAAAACCGACAATACATAAACAAAAGTTTTGCAGTAATTAAACATAAAAGTAAGTTTATATGTATGTAGTATGTATGTGTATGCAGGAGTAAAGGGATCGATATATATTTATATGTATACCATGGGGTGCAGGAGTTTACACTAGGCTCTGGAAAATACAATAATAAATTCGCCTAGTACACATTTAGCTATGCTATTTAGCCATGCAATGTACAAACACAAAGAAATATTGTGGTTAAGTTTAAATATAATTATTATTAATTTATTTTAGATTAGCACACAATGGATAAGATAATAATTTAAAAATGTATGTATATGTATGTCCTTTTTAATGGCGAATAATTATTTAGAAAATATCATCAACAATTTTATGCTGTCCCGCTATAGTTAATTTAGTGATTATGTGTAGACCATTGCAATGTGAAATTCATAATTTACCGCAAACATTTACAAATTCGCGCTTACTTACCTTTCAATGAAAGAGGCTAAACAACATACATACATGTACACTCGTACATGAAATTCAATAATTAATGTACATAAGCCTACGGAACAAATTTAGACTCAAAAAAACCAGGACTGCTGCTGTTAATTTAAATTAAATAATATCATAACCGGTTTACAGAGATATTAATATAAAGGGAATTCTGTAGCTTCTTAAATTATTACAGATGACTTAATTAAGCATAGGACCATTAGGGCCATTTCACACGTTCTGCATAAAGCAATTATATGAGGATGCACCTACTGTGGAACACTTTTCCATCATCCCTTGTCAAATTTGGTTTGGTGACAAAACCGGTTTCGGCGTTTCGCCATCTTCAGTGCCAATTTGCCTTCTGGAAACACCAACAACCAAAAAAGGATTTACAGTAGCTCTTACACAAGCCGGTGCCCGGTTACATACATTGTCGCAAAGCGGCCTGCGGAAACCAAAGCGCGTGAAAAGGCACTAAAGTTTTTTTTTTTAACCGACTTCCAAAAAAGGAGGAGGTCATCAGCTCGTCGGAATTTTTTTTTTTTTTTTATGTATGTTACCGCATAACTTTGGACCACGTCAACCGATTTCAATAATTCGCATCGGGAAGGTAGTGTCTCAGAGGTGGTCTCATACTAATCTGGTTTAGATCCGATCATTGGATCATGAGATATATATATATTTTTTTTATGAGAATTGAAGTCGGTTTTTCTTTTTTGCTAAAAATTACTTGTGACTATAAGTATTGTGCAATGAGAAAGTAATAATTGCACTGAGACTAGTAGAGATCGACAAACCCGTTATTCATGTAATAGCCACTTCTCTGCTCGCTATTTTTGATTTCCGGTCGCTTAACGAAAACTTTCGCATGTGAAAGCAACAACAAAGTTAGCTAGCAAGGATGGACAATAGCGAGCTTGGTTGTACCTCATTGAGCTCGTTCGTTTCGCCACTCGCTAACTGTTGGCGAATCGATGACGGCTTAAGTGTGACCGGTAATCGTCCGTTTTTTAAGTTGTACAAAGTTATTGTAAATATAATTGTTATGCGAATTAGCTTCAATATTTACTGAAACATTGTAGTTTTTTAAATGACCTACATACATATGTGTGTATATAGGGGTGCTCTTTGTCCGATGCCATTTTCAAAACTAACCCTTCTTCGCACCAGAGGAATATACATAATTGGGGTATTCACAACGGTGTCGAAGTGTCGTATTGTTGCATGTGGTAAACTTTAAACGCCTAAAAAAATATATTAAGGGGGTTAACAAAGTACCATCAAAGTCATATTATGAATTTTTGCAGGGTTAAAAAGTAGTTGGTTGTGGTTTCAAGTTCTCTAAACATTTATTTAAGCTTTTAAAGTTTACGACATACAACAATACGACACTTACGACACCATTGTGAATCCCTCAAATATATCTAAATATTTACTAAAGTTATGATGTGCACACCGGCACTTTTTTAGGCATATGGGTGTTTCCAGCGGAAAGTCTACCACGAGAAAAACAAATAAATGCATATATCTAATATATTTATGGGCCAATTTGGCTTCTATATATACTGGTTATTTAAGCAGAAACATTTTTGCGAAAAATGATCTAGCTAGGTGGATATGTTGAAAAGCCGTATTTATGCTCTGATTTGTTTCAAACTGGGCATGTTGCAAAAATGGAACCGCTAGGGGCGCTGATGTCAAAATAAAAAGTATATTCGGCATAAAATGCATGGTTCCTTTGCGTTAAAAAATTCGTTCAAAAAACAATATTAACAAAACTTGTTCAATGGAAATTTTAATAACGTAACGACAGGTTAAGAAGCCACGTCAAAAAGTTCAGCTGATTAAACAAAGAGTAGAAAATATCGCTACATTTAAAGATTTCGAAATTTAACCTTAACCCTCTCAGTACAAAAAATCAGCCGCTGAAGCTAAAGATCTGAAAATTGGTTTACCGGCTAATTTTGGGTCATTGATTTCAAAAATAAAATCAAAAATTTTATAAAACTCTTAGTTTTACAGGGAAGTGATATCAATGTTTTTCTTTTTTTCTATTACGAAATATATTTCACAACTGAGAATAACATTTAACATTTTTTCGGATCTCTATTCCACCGAAAAATAGTTAATTTGTTCACATATGTTACATTACAAAATATCGATTTTTGTGACACTTTTAACTTTTGTGAAAAAACACGGTCAACTGCATCCCGAAAATGTAGTAAAAGAAATGCGGTAAATAAGAATAATATACTTTTCTCAAAACAACTGTTATTTTAAAAGCTCTTATTTAAGAAAAAAAGAGCTTTAAGTACAAAAAATGTTTGTCCAATATATTGAACAATTTTACTGAAAGGGTTAAATATTTAAAATATTACTACAAACAATTTTATATAAATAGTCTTGACCCATTCGCAAAGAGTTTTGCAATTTTATAACCCAAGTCGAAATCCACTTCGATTTTTTGTAACGTCACGCCAGCGCATATGTTTACTAATATCTTTAAATCTCTACTACCAACAGTTGTAATTTCATGACTAAATAAAGGGCCATTTAATTAGTATTTAAATAAAGAAAAACCTTTTTAAAATTTTGACTTTTTAAATTTTTTTAACGTTTTAGCTACGCCACGTAACGCTTAATTGTCTATACCTACGTATCTCGATTGCTTCAGGCTATTCCAAACAACCGTTATAGTTATAAAATTCCTGAACACATGTGTTATATAAATTTTATAACATACGGATTTAATAAAATCCTTGTAAAATTTAAAAATAATCAGTTACAGCCAACAGCCTTTAAAATCAGGCACTGTAATCTTTAAAACAAGTTATAAGTTTCCGTTATCTTTGATTGATTGATCTCTTTCGATTTTTTTTTACCTTAGCCTTATACCATGTTCTGACCGACAACGAAAACACTTTGGAAACGAGATTTGGGATTATGGGCTGAATGAAGGCTGTTCACACCGGCTGTTAGTGTTTTCGTTTACATTTCTTACATCTTTTGATTACAGTTTTGCTACACAAAAACAAAACCAAAATACTTTTCTTTCATTTTCTTTTCATTTACAACCTCTTCCTTTCATTCTTATTTTACTTAGGCCAACCAATTAACAATAAATCCGAAATGGCGTATTAAAGATGATAAAATATGACTTCCACTTCGATAAATAATCGAAAAGAACCGATTGGAATGAGTGGAACGTGAGTTTTCAAGTAGTTTTCGGCCAAAACTGGTTTTCGTTTGACAGATTTTACACGGACGAAAATACAAGTTTTAGGTCGAAAACCAGTTTTAGCAACGACAACATGTTTTCGATGTCGGTCAGAACAGATAAGTAATATCTAATAAAAAGTCATTTATGCTGGGGACACACTTGCGTCTCCTTTATGCTACGAATAATTGTACACAATATTTATATTGTGGGTGTTCACACTTGCCTAGTTATCTGGTTAAAAATTATTATTCTATGGTGTTTCTATTGTTGTAAACTGAATAAACAAATAACCACATAACCAGATAACCTGATAACCAAACATATGTGAACACCCACATTGGAATTTCTATATCATATGTGCGTCGCAGGTATTACATACAAAAGACCTTGCTTACTTACAAATATAACGCGCCAGCTTACAAAAGTTTACTCTGCAGTAACCTAAAATACTTTACAATAATACAATAATACTAACAATAACCTTATCGTACTTACCAATTACTTTAATTTTATTGGAAAATTATGCTTCACATTGCAGATCTATCATGAACACAACTCAAAAGTAGTGTTTGATGTCAGTAAATACCAAAGTGCAACATATACTTTACCCCTAGTTAAATTTATAAATGAAAGCAAGGAAACTGGAATTTTGTGTAATGAAATTGTTGTTTCTATTATAAAACAAGTGAAGGGTGCATATTTTCAAAGCTATCAACAACTGTCAGCGGCAGTGACGGTAATTTTCTAAAATTTTGCATTCGGAAAAATAAATGAACACGTAGAATGGAGTAATGATAACCGAAAACTATTATTATAGTTGACTAATAACCAATGAGTATTTTATGTATCGTTTATAATACAAATCATTTACAGACACACAATTAATAAACTATAGTAGATTAGTGGAAAATCAAACCTTTACATACCTGTGTTTCTGAAGAAGCATCTATAGCTGGGGTGGTTGCCTGTTTTGTCGGTGTAGTTGAATGTGGCGCGGCATCACCGTTGGCTGGCATAGTTTCTTCTACCGCGTCTCCCAAAGGAATAGAGTTGGCACGTCTTGGAGCTGGAACGGGTTGTCCCGTAATCTTATCGATTTGCTGTTGTGGGAGTTGTTGATTCGACGCAGTTGTTGCCGCGGTCGTAAAACCGTTGGTTTTCGGGGCAATATTACCACTAACAGTTGCTGTTGGTATTGTTTCTGCTGCTACGTTGGTTGCTGTAAAATTTTTGTTTATCCCATACGATGATGGTTGGGTGTTATAGTTAAAAAGTTGTTGGGCTGGCTGTTGTTGTGCCAATGCTGGTGCAGATGTCTGTTGCAAATTAGTTTGAGCTTGCTCTGTTATTATGTCTCCAATAGAACGATTAAAGTTGGCTGTAGTGAGAAAAATTATTAGAAGAAAATATTAAAATAACTTAAGTCAATTCGACTTTAAAATAATGGAAAGGAATATTTTAGTCGGAGATCTAGCACACCTGGGCGATTTGCGAGATATCCCGAGGGACTAAGTGAATTCAAAACAGCTGGACTTCGTGGGCTTAAAGGCGCCTCTAAGGGTCCTCGGTACTCCCGCTGTAACACTAAGCGCACAAACCGCTGCGGTTCAGTGAGGCATTGCACCGCTGCATCGTGACATGCGCTCGTCATGTCATTACCATTAATCTGTAAATACAAATCACGTGAAGCACTCAAAGTAAACCAACACTTTCGTATGCACAGGATGCGACAATGACAACCGCGACAAATTGCAAATGTCAATGAGTAATTGCGAAATTCGCTGTGAATGAAAACAAATTCCAACATAGATACATATGTTCACTAGACTGGTTAAAAAAAAATCGGCTATATTTTTTTTTTTTTCAAAATCTCCTGTGAAATATTTTTGGGACAGTGAAAAAAGACGCCTGTCAAAAGCGCTGCCCCTAATGTTAACTCTGGAGGTCGCTCATCGCGAATTTCTATTTTTCATATGCTATAAATAACATAGGAAAGATTTTTTTTAAATTTTGAGATTTCATAACTCGATTTTAAGTCGGAATGACCGATAAAGTTTCATCAAAATTTCACACTTTTGAGTATGCAGTTTTATAGCCCATTTAATTCCAGTACTAGCCGGCCTCTTATGCGCGAGGCTTCGCCACGCGCTGAATGTGTACATAAATAAGTACATATACGCAGCAGGTGGCAACCCTATTAAAAAATAAAGCCTTATTGCACACCTAATGGTTTAGCCCTTTCATTTGACATCTTATGTTTTTAATGCAACGAACGGTGTGGATCTTATAATTTTTTATGCAGGCGGCAACTCTATTCGAAAAATAAAACCTTATTGCACATCTGGATGCCAAGTCCACTCATTTAACGACTGCGCAAATCTGATGTAATTAATAAAAATTCCTTCACGTATTATATGTAAGGTGGTAAGTTTTAAATAGGTGGCAACCACACTAAAAAAAAAGTAAAGCTTATTGCACATCGCATCATACCCTTTCACTTGTCTTTTTTTTTTTCTTTAATTAAATGAACTGTGAAACTCTGATGTACTTAAGTAATGAAATTGTGGTTATTTTTAAATAGGTCGCAACCCCACTCAAAAAAAACTAATGCTTTTTGAACATTCGGATACTATATCCTTTCACTTGGTACCTCATTTTTTAGTGCAACGAACGGTGAAGACATTATAATTTTTAAAAAATTGGCAACCCTACTCAAAATATAACACATTACTGAACATCTAGAGCAGTAATGGGCATTTCATATCACGCGTACAGCTAAACTGTATGCTTTTCACACGTATACGCTCACACATTATGTTGCCGGACAAAAAAAAAACCAAATTCAACCAAAGAATCAGTCTGGCTGTTGCCGAGGCATGTTGCGTTGTTTGTACGCTTCTTAGCACGCAGTTTTTGTCGGAAATTTGGTGTTGTGCTTGCCTTTTCTTGAATTCCAGAATCGTGCGAGCACAACCCCCTCGTTTCAACTGAAGTAATCGATTGAATGGCCGAGCCGTTCGCTCTCGCAAGACACTAACACATGCTCAAAATGTGATAGTATTAGTGCGCCCATCACGGATCTAAGCCAAGCGTTTTCATTCGATATCTCACTTTTAGAGATTCAACGTAAGGATCTTATGAGTTTTTAGACAGGTGGCAACCCTAGGGATATTATAAGCACTAAAGAAATACCCCCTTCGATACAGAATATATAAAACAAAATCTCATCCAAATCCATTCAGTAGTTTTCGAGAATAGCATGGTTTAAAAATCTTTACTTTGCTTTATTCTACGTAAGGATAAGATAGCAATTTTAAATAGGTGGCAACCCTACCCTACGCAAAAAAAAATAAAACATTTATGCTTATCTAGAGGCCAATCCCTTTCATTTGACAGCTCATTTTTTGTAATCCAGCGAACGGTGAAGATCTTGTAGATTTTAAACAGGTGGCAACCCTACTTAGAAAAATAATACATTATTACACATCTAGAGGCTAAGTCTTTTCATTTGACAGTGACGGTGCAGAACTGATGAGGATTGAGTTTAGTAATTTTCTTAACAGGTGGCAACCCTATTCAAAAAATAAGACATTAGTGCTCTTCTAGAGGACAAGAGCTTTAATTTGAAACCTCACTTTTTGTGATCCAACGAACGCCGCGGATCTTATAGTTTTTAGACAGTAAAAAAGGTCACTCTCCTATCGATACAGAGTGTATTAGAGAAAATCGCGTCAAAATCCGTTCAGTAGTTTTCGATTTGCCGCGTGCAAAGAATCTCGGCATTCTTTTATACTATGTATAGATAACAGGCGCAAGTTTGAAGTGACTACAAAATAATTTTTGGCAATTTTCTTGTTGGCGATATTGTGCATTTTCCTCGGTATAAAAAACGTGCTGACTCTAATCTTGAATAACTTTTGGAGGAGTGACTTTTACATATGCATACATGTATCGTTCTTTCCGATACGTCGACCTAAGAACGAATTATGAAATTGGAAAATTGAAAAAATTTTTTCCTGTGTTATTTAAAAGGAAAATAGAAATTTGCTATGAGCGACGACTAAATCTTAATATTAAAAGCTGCGCTTTTGATAGGCATCTTTCATCACTGTCCCAAATTATTTCACAGGGGATTTTGAAAAAAATAAAAAGATGTAGATATTTTGAACCAGTCTAATGTACGGACATATGTCCAAATTTGTGTATTATATCGAGCCTAGCTGCCAAAAAACCTAAACGACATTTGGTGTTTTATTTTATTTTGTTTTTGATGCAGAAATGCATATACATAGATGCTCCAGGGGCATTTCTGCTTAAAATAAAAAATTTTGTAGAAAAAATTTCGCTTGTCCATACAGTAGGTAAACAAAAAATTAAATTGTCATAGAAAAAGTACATCTATACTGTACTTATACTTAGTTACTTATATTTAGTTAGCTTTTTGGCGGGATTGCGATAAATACCTCACTTTTAATTAGCTATGACCAACTTAAAGTGAGTGAGAAAGTCATGCAGGAGTCATGCAGACGCAATCGGGAGTCTGTTTTCTGTACAATTTTCTAATTATACAAAATATACTTTGAATACATTTTTTTCTGCACTGCACAAATTCTTTTTCGAAATCAGGACAAAATTTCATATTATTATTCTGATGTTAAGTCTGACGAAATTCCAATATAGGACCACCTACTGCAGAATGTGTAAACAAATATGCATTGTTGAATATAAGTTGAATTAATAAAAATGTAAACAAATAAAAATAACGAACAAATTAACAAGCAGAGGAATCCAAGTCTGACTTTTTCCAGCCATCGCCCCACAAAAGTAGTTACTTTTTTTCGAACAAAATATACAGTCACTCCCTGCACGACAGCGATCAATTACACGAATTATTAAGGCGCTGACCGGCTCAGTCAAGTTGTCTATATCTATCTCGAATCCTTTAGGCTGTTACAAATAACCGTTATGTGAACAATGTTGTAATACCCTCGTGCACAAGTGCGCTCGGGTATAAAAAGCGCATATGAATACTGGAAAGTATTTATGGCGATGTTTTCTACGCATACCTTAACATCTTTTTTACCTACTGTATGTACCAATATAAGCATTAAAGTGGTTATACAATTTGAATAGATAGTGTTGTTGTTGTTGTGGTAGAGATTTAATGGACTTACAGCCATCACACGGTCGCCAACCATTATTTTGCCGTCACGATGCGCCAAACCGCCTTCAGTTATGCGTGAAATGAAAATTCCATCACAGCCATCCTTAAATGGGGGCGACCCTTTCCCACCAGCAATGCTGAATCCCAGACCCTGACCGATTTGATCACGAATTAAGGTCGTGTGCAGTTGAAGGTAGCTCAAAGGGGCATCCTGCGGCAACTATAATAAGTGCATTAAAGATAAATATGGTAAATGTATACTTTAAAATATTTAAGTTAAATGTATAATTTAAATACATATAGATGCTATCAATGCACAAGAAGCTGATTCGACTCTTAAAATTAACATTGGAAATATACATACTACTATCTCGTTTTTATGGTTTGGCTTAGAATTTTCAGAGCGCATTTCAAAGGTTCCACTTAACCCTTCTACAATGATTGTGTCAAAATGACTGCTTTGGCTTTGGCGCAATCTATTCGTTAATATCATCAATGGCCATTGTTTTGGGTAAAAATATTTTTTTTTTCTAGAAGGCGAAATGCCTTTTTCAGACACATTGTTTCTGTGTTACTTTGACCCAAAATTTTATTATTTTTAACCGGCTTTCAAAAAAGGAGGAGGTTATCAGTTCGTCGGATTATAACTTTGGACCACGTCAACCGATTTCGATAATTCTGCATCGGAAAGGCAGTGTCTCAGAGGTAGTCCCATACTAATCTGGTTTAGATCCGATCATTGGATCGTGAAATATATATATATATATATATATAGTGGTGGAAGAAATAATAGAAACTCTTTACTTTGACCAGTTTTGGCTATATTACTTTGTTTATGCGATGTTTAATGTTTTTGTATAAAAGTCTAGCGCAATATATATCAAACACTATATAAATCCATATTTCAAAGTTGGTACAAAAATACAACAAATTTTAACAAAATCCCCCAAAAATTTCAAACCCTTTAATCAGATTTTTTTGAAAAATTTTGGGTATGCAGTTTCATAGCCCATTAAATTTTAGGAGGTAAAAGTGCAAACCGAACGCTAGAAAATCTAACTGATTTAAAATCAGACTTTTATTTTCTTAGTCAAATAACAAAAGTTAAAATTTGACTTTTATTGATTTATTCTTATTTTTTTCCTTATCCTTATTTTTTAATACAGTTGATGCCTTTCCACAAAAATTTTTTACTGAAAATCGGCCTCAAGCTCAATAAAATTCTTGAATAAAAATGTATTACTCGGCAAAAAAGTTAAAATTTCACTTTTATATTTTCAGTCAGTAAAAAAGGTTGAAATATTGACCATTATTTTTTAGCTGAAAAATTAATTCTATTGCTATTTTATTTGATTGTAATCTTTAAAGTTAAAAGCCTTTTTTTACGTATTAACAAGGTATAGTATGCCATTTGTAATATGAATGATAACGAAATGTGCAATGCAATAAATAAGTTATTTTTTGTTTTCGGAAAAAGCCGTTATGACATTAGAAATATGAATTTTTTACTTTGACATATAGTTTTTATTTTTTCACATAAAAGCGAAAAGACACGTAAACATGATCAAATTTTATCAAAAAATAACAAAATGTGGACTGTTATTTTTGACTAAAAAAAATCCGACTTTAACTTTTGTATTTGACCAAAAGCTAATGTCAAATTTTAACTTTTATATTTCACCGAAAAAAATAAAAGTGAAATTTTAACTTTTATTTTTGACCGAAAAAAATAAATACTTTTGTTATCCTAATAGTGATTTTTCGGATCAGTGTGGACGAAAAAATATACTTACAGTTGATAAAATTAAACTTTTAAAGGACCACATAACTAACTTTCCAAATTACGAAAGGCGCTATACCAGGAGGGATACAAGTTGCAAATACTTATACTTTAATGCCGGTTTATCTCTGTGAAATCTGATGGAATTAGTAGCTCTGCATATACTAGTATTTTCAAAAGTAAGCAGGCTTTTTATCGTATCTTTTAGTTATTTAATTTAACAATATTTTACAGCTATGAATATGAAATTTAAGAAGCCTACTTGCCATATATGCAATACAAATAAAGCTGAAATTGGTTATATTAAAATACTTAGGAAGCCGATAATATGCAATTACGTGATTTAGAAAATGAACTTCAAACTCGTAAAGCAGATTTAGAATAGGAGTTGAAAAGGACCTCCGCTTTCACTGATTCCACAGTAAAAGTCAATTTTTTTGCATAAGTTATTAAGAATTTTTAAAATCATGATCATTGCTAACTGTTTAAAGAATTAACAGAATCGATATTACCAATCGCGAGAAAACAAATAAAATCCAAACAATTAATGGCGAAAGTGAATAGCTGTATTTTTTCAAAATAATTCGAATTTCGAAAAATTTTGAAATTTTCATTTTTTTTTTTCTCCGTGAACCTTAAACAGTTAATTCTAAAAAACCATTCGACCTTCGAAAAAATGGTCGTCCACTTCATAATTAAAAGGTATTTCTCTCGAAAGCATATTTTAGACATAGGCGGTTATTACTTATGACCACGGACAAATATTGTATATATATTGTATATTTGCAAATCTGGGTAGTCAGTTGTTTGTAAGAAGTAAAAACTAATAGGCTTACATAATTACTGTTTTTTTGACCACGTGAATCGCGAAAAGCATATTTTAGACATAGGCGGTAATTACTTATGACCACGGACAAATATTGTATATATATTGTATATTTGCAAATCTGGGTAGTCAGTTGTTTGAAAGAAGTAAAAACTAATAGGCTTACATAATTACTGTTTTTTTGACCACGTGAATCGCGAAAAGCTTGACATTTTAGTCTAAACCATAAAAAATCTAAGCTTGGCCCATATACATATATATATTAAAAGATCTGAACCTGCTATCAGAAAATCTTTTTCCGCGGAAATACATTTTTGTCCTCACTTTTATATAATTTTATTTGCCAAACCATGTTTAACGAATTGTAAAAATTCAATTGCACATCTGACCGGGACCACACAAAACCGACCTTGCCATTTTCCAAAACGCCATTTGTTGTTGCCACCCCAACATGTTGTGGTTGTAGCTGCTGCTGCTCTTGCTGTGATAAATTTACCGCATTTGCTGACGGCGTTGTAAATACATTTGCTTGATAACTGTTCAAGTTTGCAGCAGATTGCTTTTGTTGGTGCTGTTGCTGTTCTGGAATAATTTCAATTGGTGCCGGAATGAATTTTTCATGTTGTTGTGTGAACTGTTGTTGTTGCCCCGCCAACGCCCGATTTTCCACAGATATCTGCAAGTGAAGAAAATTTAATTTGTACAAATGAATAAATATATATGTATATATCAGTTGTAAATAAAAATCTATTTGGAATATACATTCACCGACAATTGACAGTCCTACAACGTTAATTGCATGTTTAACGGCACAAATCACCGCAACAAACATTTAATTTCGCTTAACATTTACGATCCGTACACCCACCTGTGACACGGAGCCATCTTCGGTAAACACTGGATGCCCTATGAGGCGGGTCACCTCACGTTCCACCAGCAAAACCAACACCGCTCCACATGCTTTCAGCACTTGCACAGCCTGATAATGATCGGCGTCGACCACAAAAATACCATTCACTTTTAGTACTTTATCGCCAACTTTCAAACCAGCCAAATCCGCTGGCCCACCTTCCGTCACACGTGATATGAAAATTCCCTCATCGTCGCCTTTGAAGGGAGTTGAGCCCCTGCCGCCTGCTATGCTCAAGCCAAGACCGGCGGTGGTGCGTTCGATATGAATTTCGTACTGTTCGAGACGCAGCTCAGTCAGGCCATCAACCGCATCTGAAAAAAAAATATATATAAAAATAAAAATAAAAATATTATTTAACAAACAAATTTTTTTACTGAATACAAATCTTTAAGAAACACAGAACGCCGCATTAGACGTATGAAATACGACATTTGTAAGTTCTAGAGACTGAATTTTAAGACATAAATGAAATCTTATAGCATTACCTTCCCATTTTACCACTTGGCCTATACCTACGGTGACCATATTTTTGAAGTGTAGATAAAGGACAAACATTCATATGTAATTTTTATAATTTTAATAGTCAGTAAGACGTATCACTATATATGAAAGAAAAAGTGTGTCTGTCGTGTTTGAACATTTATGGCGTGAAACAATTTTGGGTGTAAAAGCTTTTTTAGCCTCACGTTACAAACATCTAAATAACGTTTTTTCCGTTAGAGTATAAATCAAACCGGTTTAAGGCCAAAACCTTTTGAGAGCCAATTATAGTCCTGAACGACATAAAGATTCGAAAAATAGGACATTAAATAAAAAAGTTATAAAAAATACAAAAAAAAATCGTAGTAGAAAAAATTACAAATTTCGAGGTACATATTGTGCAGATGTACTGATCTTTTCTTAGTTCAAAAAGGTACCTCTGTAATTAGTCGAACTGGTAAAGTTTGTATATGGGTGTTTCCATCGAAAGGTCTACCGCGACAAAAAAATAAATAAAAGTCATATATCTAGCATATTTATAGGCCAATTTGTCTGCTTTTTTAAATATATATTAACTAGGTAAATAGAAAATTTTGTGCGGAAAATTGTCTTGCTAGGTGGCGCCAAGGTCGAGAAATTTTGAAAAACCGTATTTATGGCCCCATTTTGTTCAAATATGGCGTATGTAGTTGAAACATAATAAATCATAGATTTACAAAAAAATTTACTCTGAATTGGCGCTGAAGTCAAAATATAAAGTATATTCGACATAAAACGATTGGTTTATTTGCTTTGAAAATTCTTTTAAAAGCAATATTAACAAAAATATAACGATGGAAATTAACGTGGCGTCACGTGAGGATTCACACTTGGGGTTGTAAAAGAAAATTTAAACAGGTTGCATTAATTCAAAAAACTCTAAAAACAACCACAATCACTCCAAATCATATATTAAAAATAAAATAAAAAAGAGCCATCCACAGTTCGCCGAGTTTTGCGATTTTGTAAGAAAAAAAAATCAACTTCAATTCTTTGTCACGTAACGACACTGTCTTTAATTGCTTATATTTAAGGACCATGCGGTTCGACTGTTTTCATCTTTCGACCAACTATAGAGATAATTATGTGCTATACAAGGATCAAAAAAAGGAACAGAAAACAAATGTTTTTCTTTGTTTGTTTCTCATTGAAACGTACGACTGTCACGTGTGTGACGTATGGAAATACCCATATATCAAAAAGAGGACATTTAAAGGACAGGCCTTAAAATAAAGGACGGGCCTTAAAGTAAAGGAAAAAACATGGTTTTAGAAAAATAAATAAAGTCAAAGGACATCACCCTAGAAAAAAGTACTGTTCTTTGAAATAAAGTAAGGATGGTCACCATACCTGTACTCATAATGATCTCAATATAATTTTTCGTTTGGTCTACACTTCGCTACTTTGCTTTTCATTCGATATTACCTACATACATATATAAGTTCATGCTTTAGGGCAGAAGATGCACGCCGCGCTGTTAACAATGCAAGTCACGATTTGGTTTTACCAAGAAAAAGATGCTTTACCCACTAAATCTAGGACACTTGTGCATATTTAGTTATGACTTCACCCGCTGACAGGTAACACTTACTCTGCAAGCCATCATCATTAACGGTATCACATACATACATATGTGCACTTATTGCCACAAATTTCATTCTTACCATATTGTCTATTGCCCTTCAAACCTCCAGTGTATGTCGTTACAATTCGAACACGTTTGTCCTTGTGCTTTAGCGAATTATTTGGGCTGCGGTTCGAGGACACTAGTGAACTGCGTAAACTCATATTCGCTGGGCTGTTGCGGCCGCTGGTGCTTCCCAGCGAGCCTGAACGCCTTGAACGGGGAAATGTGTTATCGCCCTCCTTAATTTTTAACTTAATATTGAACATTTCAAAGTTTTCTGTTAAGTGTTCGTATGGATGTAAGTGGTAAATTTGCTTATGCGTTACACGTATTCGACATCAACAATATTTCCAATATCTTTGTATTTATTTATGCATTTAACAGATTTTCTTTAAACGGTTACAAAGACCCGCCTTTCTAATGCATCATCGTTCTGTAAAGGGCTTTTATCAATTTTATTATTTTGTGCAATTTCATCAAATCGTCCTCGGCAATAGAGGAAACATTTGCAACCAAAGTGGGAAGCTGAAGGAAAGTATGCGTTAGCTATTTCGTAAAATAACAAGCACAAGAGTAAAATTTCAGAAACAGAAATGCAGTGGAAGTGCTCAAGCAAAGGCGGAAGCAGCAACAGATGGGCGCGGGCCAAAGGTGTACATGCATGCATACATACATATTAGCGTGGGCCGAAAATCCGCATTTTTAGTATTTTGATTGGTAATAGCAAAAATACCATACTATGCTCTAAAAACAATATGTGTGACATATGAAAATTTTTGGTCCATATCTTAGGCTCGCCCAAGTCCATCAAAGTTCAAGTACTAAAAAAAAAGTTTTCTTAGCTAACTTCGATTCTCTACTACCAATCAAAATTCTAAAAAAGCGGATTTTCGGCCCATGCTAATACATATCAACGACCAAGAAAGAAGTAAAAGTCGCAGGCACTTTACAAAATACTTATTTGCTTATTGGATTTTAATGCGTTCGACTGCACCGATAACAGCCTTTGAAAGTGACTACACAATTCTTCGCTTAAATCGCGGGGATAAAAGAGAAAACTAGTACTACCCCTTGTGTAATAAATCTCTTCCTGGCTACTGCATGCAATTGAATTTGTGATATGGCGAACTTAAATTTTAGTTGCAAAGCATTCATTTTAAAAGTTAATTTACAGCAATTCAAGAAATATGGGCTTTATAAGTAAAATATCCAGGGCTTATATCACAGGCGACAACAACCAACAATTTTTAAAACACACGAAAAAATCAATATATTCACAAAACTAGGAGCCAAAATAGTATAACTGAGTTTTTAATTTTTTCGCTGACGTCAGGGTTTTTTTACAGGACTTTGAAATTTCTAGGATATGATTGAATAAAAAAAATTGTTTAAAAGATTTGGTGCATTGTAGAGTAACAATATGGGTATCAATTAAAAGAAAAAATTTTGTAGAATTGAAAAACAATTTAATCTTTTGGTGCACCAGGACGAATATGTGTTGAAAATGTCCTTTTAAAACTTTAATATCGTTGGAAAATTCCAATATTTATTTCAAAAAAAAAATATTTGTCAAGGACTAATATGTAAACTACCACATCCTCGAATTTCGTCCTTCTAACTTTATTAGTTTTAGATAATAAAAAAATTTACACTTCTCTTTATAAGATATTGATAGTTACAATATATTTACATAAATGAAGATACTGGAATCATTACACTGCACAGCACTCGGCTGGGTATTGGACCAAACCAATTTTTTTTAAGAGATTGAGTCATAGGTAAAAGAGAAATTTCTCCGTTTTTCGATGTTTGCCTCCGAAATCGAGATATGGGTAAAAACTTATTATTTTTTATTATATGTAAATAACTAAAAGACTAAAAATATAGACATAGTCCGCCTTTTGCTCTTATTCAAAGGGTGTATAACTTTTTTTGTGCAAACTTATGTATATAACAGATTAGCATGGGCCGAAAATCCGCTTTTTTAGAACTTTGATTGGTAACAGGAAAAATATTGTTCACTATGCTCTAAAAGCAATCTGTGTGAAAGATGACAGTTTTTGATCAATATCTTAGGCTCGCCCAAGTCCATCGATCATCCCCTATTGTGAATTTCATTGCATTGCAAAATATTTTAATGTTTTATCGGTAGTTGAGGTTTTTGCTGCTCCCGAGGGGGTTAATACCTAGTTTTTCAAATTAATGTAAACAGTTGTTTCATGTTTCATTCACTTAATGGTTTGCAGGGTAAAATTTCTAGAATACCTCCAATGTCTTTCAAAATTTAACATAAGAGAGATGAACAGGGTTGGCTTTCCATTACATCGGTTTTTGGGTGTTTACACAAAACTATAACGAATTTCGTCATGAAATTTGGCAGGGATGTTAAGAATCGTATATATTTACATTATTTATCACTCTTTTCACTTTATTAGTAATAGTATTTAACTAATTTGTTGGTAAATTCTTTGCAGTTTCACTAGCAAAGTTTCATAGAAAAAAGAGCACTTGATACTTATATTTTTATAAACATACGATCTTTGCAATGTTCACGTGTATTTTGTGTACATTAAATGAATTTTATTTTTTTTTTTTAACAACATAAAACGCGTTAATTAATTTCACTACTCTTCTCCGACAAAGTAAACAAGCAAACAAATCAAAATGGCTGTGATGGTGAATATAAAGGGGGCTACCACATGTTCGAAAATTCAACAAACTAAAACGAAGGGATTTTCAACAATCCACCTTTGTTTCGCAATGATCTCGACAACAGTCGGGAATAAATGAGTATAATGTGTTTTTAAAATATGTTCAACAAAGAGCTCTGCATAAAAATTTTGCGGAAGGCCTAACCGATATCGGAGTGAGGATATTTATTTCTTTTTTCTCGGGGGTTTTTAATACACGCAGAAAGGTGTTCTCTGCAAAAGGTGTTCAGCCCCTTTTCTTCGCAAAACAGAAAGGAGAATTCTACTTAGTGAGGGTTATAATCCCTAAGTGCGGCCGAAGGCCGCCTACGCAGAAAGGTGTTCTCTGCAAAAGGTTGCAAAAGGTGCTAAATACCGTTGATTTTTGACATTTTTTTTTGTGTTTACGGCGCTGCGCATTTTCTTCCATATAAAAATTTTGTCGAGCGTGCTTTGTATGGCAGAAAATGCATGA